TAAAACAAAGAGAAGGGGGTAGATAGGGAGAGATAAGAACAGGGAGAAGGGAAGAAAGAAACGTGAGAAAGGACACAGAAGGTGGGAAAGGAGGTAGGAAGACTGAACTATGTGAATATTCGATTTTAAAGTCTTCTAAGTCTAGGTCCCAAGGTCCCAAGGTCCCAATTCCTAGATCTTAGCCTCTGTGGTTTGGTACAACTCATTCCTCCAAGCTGGCCTCAGAATTTCAGCTGGAAAATGAGGCAGCTGGCCTGGATCAGTGGTTTTTAATGTTTTCTACTCTGAGATCCTTTCTAAAAATACCAATTAACTTTACATTTCCCACAAGGAAGAAGTTGTCCTTTAAGTACCTGATAGTTAAAACAAACAAACAAAAATATTTAATGGTTTCAGAAATGCTATTTAAAGAATTTTTATTTTGCAAATAACAGCTATATCCATTTTTTTAAATCACTGATTCACTTTATAAGGTACTGCATATCTACATATAGCAATAAACTGAAAGATTTCTTTCTCCCTTACGTGAGAGGCATTTGGGGTCCTTGTAGTAATTTAGAGGATTCTTTACATCTCCTTGAACTCTGTATGACTGCCTCTCCACCACAGGGAAGATCGTGTCCATGCACAACAGGGCATTTTTTTATTGTGAAAGTACCCCTCCCTCAATAGGTGCCATATGATTCTTTCCAGCTGCCAAATTGCGGACGTTGCTTTATACTTAAGGAAAAAAACCTGTAACTCAAATAAAAATCAAAACCTCAAAACAGCATTTTAAAAAACCTTTTTCCTAAAATTTTATCCTTAATAATAACTACTTCAAAGACCAGAAGAAGTGCATTTTTTTAACTTTCTGTTATACCTATCTATGTTGGATGAATTCTACTCATAATATGCACCTATGAGAAAATAAACATAATTTTTTTAAGTTTTTATACATTAATACTGCCATTAAGATACATGATAGTCATGGTTAAAAGGCATCGTGTCTGCCCTTTAAGAGCTTATACTCAGAGAAAGAATATAAAATAATTATGCCAAAGATAGAATTCCTGTACTAACAGACAGCATCTATTAATGTATTCATTCTTTCACACATTCAAATATTTGCTGAATATTTGCTGGCTAAGTACAAGACCTAAAACCAGATGAGGATTAAAAAGCTAAGACACGAACCTCCGACTCCAGAAGATCCAGCCATGGCCTTATTAAAAAACCACCAAAAACCTCTGCTGTAGAATTCTGGAGCGAAGAGAAAGGGAGTTTGCCCTGGGGCCAGATAATGTCCATCTCACAGACGGCCATCACTAATGTGAGGCCTAGTGTGCACGTGATAAGCTGTAGGTCCCCTGGGACTACCTGCCTCACTCACTGCGCCGGACATGATTTTGTATCTTTCTCCTTAAAGTTCTGGATTTATGCCATTAATTTAATTTACCACTGTATGCCACTGGGGTGTTCTGGACCTAAAATGAATCAGTACTTTCTAGGTATATTTCTGAAAATGTATTAACCTTTACTTTGCATTAAAGAGAAAAGAATTTGCTCTCAGAATAGCTGGCTAACTTTACTTCAAGAAATGAGTCACTACTAGGTACAGGTATTTCAGATGTTAAGTGCGTGAGTACACATACACACAAACACAGCTAACTTAGGAGATGGTGAAATCTTCCATGTGAAGAATGGTAAGAGTACAAAATGCAAAGGAAAGGAAAGGTTGGCACTGGGAGAAGATGGGGCAGTTAGAACATAAGTGCTATGTGGCTAAAAGTGGGGAAAATTGCAAAGGAGTTAGTCAAATTTAAAAGGGTCTAGACAGGCTAATGCTCTTGAACCAAAAGTTTAGGATAATGTGAAACCATTACTAGATGGGGGGAAAGGAAAGATTACACTGATAATAAGCAATTAAAATTAAGTAGTGATATGGGAATACGATTGGAGAGAGCAAAAAGGAGTGTGGGGAGCCCGGATTGTTGTTTCAGAAAAGCAATTCAGCAAGGAAGCTAACAGGGACAAAAAAAATCTTAGTTTGTTAATTGATGAAAAAGAGCTTGTTTTTAGAAAAATATGTCCCCAACTCTGATCTAAACTAAGAAACTTCCAGAATATTGTTGGAATCTGACTGTACCTTTGTCTAGCATTCACAAATTTCATGATGCATTTGAGTTACATACTGATGAAAAAAATGTCTGGGAATTATTTCAAATGTTGTTGCATTGAACCTCAAATGTTTCAGAAGAAATAAAATATTATTCCTAAACACTGGCAACAGTATTTCTAGAACAGAAAATATGCAGATGTTCCAAATATGCTTTTAAACCAGGAATAATGATGTGTGTTGACATTTAGTCAGACTTAATTCTTTTCACCTACATATGAACTCAAATGTGTCCCTTTGTCTATTTTAAGAGAGATTTCCCAAGATAAAAATGCTGCCCTAGTTTGTTTTTTTTAAAGGTCTGTCCAAATGATGAATATCTTTGACTGCCTTAAAACTAATAAACAAGCACTGGATTTTAACCTAGAAGAGAAAATTTTCAAGTATTCCCTTTCCCTGATGTCAGCTGCTACTCATGACCTCTGTTGAGATATTCGCAACAAAGGTCACAGGGCTCCCCACCCCCTCCTAAAGAATTAATGCAGTGGGAAACGGCAGACACCCACTGCGTTATTATTCTCAATCTCTTTTGTAACCTACCCCATGATCCCAAGCTGTAATTGTATATAAACCTACTTAAGGTTTAAATGGAAAAAAGAAAAGTGGAGCAGACAGATTTTTTTTAAATGGGGTTTAAAAATCTGTGCCAGAATATTACGCAAACTAAACTTCCTTTTCAAACGAAGTTAGAGTTTCAGGATTAAGGACAGTCTCAGTGTTTGTGTGTGTTTTCCCTAATCACAGGCACAAGCTTTAAACTCTTTAATTAGGGTCCAAAGACATTGTTAGGGAGTAACTGTGCCATAATTAAGAGTTATATTAGAGAAAACTTTATTAGACTTGAATTCTTCCAAGATCAAAAACTAAACCACCATTAGGACCTCACTAGTATATAAAACATTTCCTTTGATAATCTTTGAACCAGAAAAGTCAGATGCTTAACAAAGACAATGATCTCAACAATTTCTGACCACCTTCAAAATCAACCAATATTTAATTCTAACTTAATGAAAGAGCCACACTGAATTTCCTTAACACTTTACCATAGTATGTAAACTGGATTGCCAAACACAACATTATATGACATGAAAGCCAATCTCATGTGCTGAACTCCAGAGTTAAGCAATAGAAACATCATGCATTTATAGCTGAAAGTGTTTGTTGCACCCCTTGAGAATGAATATACTAGGATTAATCATTTATATCTTGGTTAGAAACCAGAGGACCTAAGAGTAACACAAATACATATACGTAAAGTGAGTTTCAAGTTTCTTCCAGGTCACTGACATGTAGAGGGGGCTAGGCAAAATCACAGCACTATATAATTGATTCTTTACATGTTAAGGTTGTGTGGGAACTCTTAATGCTCATCCTATGCACTACCCACACTTAAGGAAGCACTACACACTGCACAAAGGTCACTTTCCCCACAGCAAAGACATCATACCCCCCATCCCTTACCCCCATCCCCCCCCCCCCCACAACACTCAAACACAACTCAGACCCAACATGCTAAAGACAAGCAGACAATTTCAAAGACTAGGGCTTTAAAGTGTGAATGTGCCTTTCTTATCAATCAGGCCCCCTAGTCTTGACAGTGCTGTGAAAACTCCATTTACATGTGAATGCCATAATCTTCACCAAAGCTGGGCTAGGCACTGAAGGGTTGAAAAATACTACTGCCAAGATGAGGGGCCTAAACTCTAACATCCTTCAGACACAAGGGGACAGGCCCACGCCCAGCCCCATTTACAATTCCACAGAAAACCTGGGACTCTGTCTCCTAGTGTTTGGATCTCTGGGAAACAAGACAGTCAAGCTTTCTTATGATTTTGGGGTCAATCTGAGCACCTACAAGCCCATCTGAATCAAATCAGTTTACAAAGAAAGATGCAGTTTCAAGAAAGCCAAGTTTCCTCTTTCCAATTCTACATTCCCAAGACACCTCAAGCCACAATGCTCACTTGAAATAGATGACAGCCAAAACAAAGACAACCTTTGCAAAACCAGATAGTACTCTGGAACTTCTATGCTTCCTAGGAACAAAGGACAGCCAAAGACAACTAAAGGCTAAGGTGATTCAGCACCCAAGATCTCAATTAAAAAAAAAAAAAGCTAGGTCTTGGAGCAGCGGATGAAAACAAGGGAAGTCAAAAGGCTACCTGCTGGTAGCCAAGACAGATCAGTGCTAATCGAGCTTTATTTTCCTGGACATCAGTACAGGGAGCCATTAAAAAATCAAGGACACCATTCAGTCTCTTTTCCCCTCGCTCAGTGCTTTCTGTAAGAAAACGCTTACAGCAGCTTCCCGTAAGCTCGCCGCGCTGGGCAGTGCCAACACTCAACTTTTAAACCTTGGGGAAGGTTGGAAAGTCAGCCAGCCAGACGCTGGGCTAGGAAAAGTACGGAGAAGGAGGGAAAGAGTCAAGTTTCAAAACAAAGGCTCCACTAGGAACTGAATGTCAAACCCTCCCCGCGTCCAAGCCTTCAAGCCAGCTAGGCTGGGCCTCAACTTTTAAGAACACAAATAAGTCGGATTTACCCAGTACCTTCTTGTTCACTAGAATATTCGCACAACCACTTGAAGAGGGTGGTTCTATCCTCTTCCCCCCACTCCCCTCCCCGCCAGTCTCCTTACACAGGAAAATACTGAGGCAAAATGATTTGGCCAAGGTCCCACAGTAGAGCCTAAACTTAATTCCCTACACGTCCAGGGCGAGCGAGCACACTGTGGGCGCCGAGGGAGGGCCGCGGGGGCCGAAGGGACGACGCCCCTGCCCGGAGCGAACCCCGGCCGGGAGAGGGGAGGGGCCCCGCGCGCGCTTCACGCCCCGGCTCCTACCTTCCTTGACTCCAGGCAGCTTGGACTGGTCGATGCTGACTTCAGCCATGATGGACCGGGGTCCTGGCTGCCCCTGGCCACCCGCTTCCCCGCCGCCGCCGGCACCTAGGTCTGCCCCCGCGCAGGAGCAGCGCCCGACGCAAATCCGGCCGACAGCACGCGCGGGCCGGGAGCAGGGGAGGGGCAGGGCAAGGGCTGCCGACAAAGGCAGAGGGAAACCGGCTCCGGCGCACCAGGCTGGCGGCCCAGCTGCCCCGCCGCAGCCACCTGCTCCCGCGCCCCCCGCCCTGATCGATACCAAATATCCGGAGCCCGGAAATGGACTCGGGCCGTCCAGTACGGAGGGAGAGAGGAGACAGAAAGGAGGGCGGGCGGTCGGGCGGGCCTGGGTGGGGTGGCGAGGGGAGGGGAACTGCAGGTCTGAAACCGCAGTTGCTAGAGGCTGGCGAGCGGAGCTCGGCTCCCGCGGCCGCCTCCCAGCTGTCTCCTTTGTGCGGTGTGACGTGCCTGAGCCTGGGGCCCCACTGTGCCTCCGCCCCTGCGCCCTGCCGCTCTACCAGCCGAGGGGTCGTGGTTTTGGATGGGGACTCCGTGTCCTGAAAGCCTCAGCAGAGGGCCACACGGGTCACCCAGAATATAATCGTTACTGTCAGCGGTGTACTTAGTATACTGTACTCTGGTTCTGGGGCTGAGATTTCCACCAATGTTTACTATGTGCTGCTTTTATATGTGGGCATAAAAAAAAATCTTTAATATAACGTGCAGAACTAGAGAGTGGCTGACAAAAACGTGGGCCAATTCACACCAGCTGGGGGAACTGAGTCATCCATTCATCAGAAATGCACGCATGTCTACCAAATGTGAAGTTAGGGGCTGATAAAAACGTGTGTTGAAAATCTCTCTCTTAGGACATTTCACACATTGGACTAGCGTTGTGACATTTTTATCTTCCCGAAATAGGCAACATCTTCTGTCTGCCACCTCCTGGCAACAAAATTCTCCGGCCCTAGGGAAAACCCGCCCCTGTAAGTGGCCTCTCTCCCAAATGTGTGTAATCATAGAACCTCTAGCCGCCACCACTCTTCCTTCCTCCCTCACCCACACACTTTCAACTAAGGATGTGTGTGTGTGGCCGAGACAGGTCAAGCAGAATACCTCCCTATTCCTATTATGTAAACTGGAACAGCTATGCAGTCTACTTCCTGTGGGGAAGGTTTGCTTTCACGAGTAGGCAATGAAGCTAAGCAAACTGAAGACAGAAACACAGGTAAGAGATGGAGAGGACATGCTCTGATGATATAACAGGAGCAAAGCAGGAGGCCCCAGGAGCAGCTGGGGTTTCTGCACCTCCTGGACTCTGGGATCTACCCCTGGTATCCTCTCAATTTAAACTAGTAATTTTACTATCTTAGGAGAGCAAAAATTGATTTTTTTTTTATTTTATTTATTGTTTCATCACTCAGCTCAGAGTCCCAATGTGAGAGGCCACATGGAAGAGATTTTATTTGGACTTCACGTCGAAAAAATAAGCAGACCCAAGGCTAGCAAAAATTTAGGAGAAGACTTTCTAGGCCAGAGGGTAGCAAACCATGGCCCACAGGTCAAATCCACCCACTGGTTTGATGCCTGCTTTCTATGTGTTTAAGTGATCACATTTTAAGTGATTATATAATATAATATTTCAGTTTTGCCACATAGGTCTTAAAGTCTAAAATATGTACTATTGGACCCTTTTCAGAAAAAGTCTGCTGACCCCTGTACTACGCAGAAAATATACCCAGTAAAATGTGTAAGAAAAAATGAGGTACTAGTAAAAAGGTACTTTTATGGGGATTTTTAAGTTCCCTGTCATCTTGTGAACTATTGTTTTTTAAACTTCTTATAGTCACAGAGAATATTTGTAATACCAATACTTTCTGTTTCCTTCCCCAAATCCATTGTCTCCACTGGTCTGTCATGCTCTACCCTGGGGGCTCGCATTTATGAAAACATGACCAGGGCCCCCTTGCCTTGTGGCTTCCTGTTGAGTTGGACCAAATCAAAGCACTGGCAGAAAATCAAGGGAGGAAAGAGATATGAGCATAGGTATTCCACTCTCCTTCTCCTGATGCTAAGCCAAAATTTTACCCATACAGTGTTTCTTTACCTGCAATAGCTTCAGAGAGGCCCCTTTTCCATGGCTCCAGCTCTCATTGGTCTCTAACACAGGTTCCTTCCAGTGCCCTTTCAGTCCTAAGATAGTAATGGCTTCTCACTCTCCCCAGTAACCTTGAGGTATCCCAACCCTCTCTAAATAGTCCCTTCATTATATTCTTTTCATTTAATCATTTTGAATGTGGCTTTTTTTCCTGCTGAGACTCTGACCAGTTTAAGACATGCCAAAGGATCACTGCTTTGTTTTCCTTAAAAATTCCCCTCCTTTGCTATGATCTCCACAAGGTCATAAGACATATTCCCCTATCCATATGATCTCTACTCCCCACTCTCTTTTCCTTTCTTAAACCCATTCCAATCATACTTTTTAGCCCCACCAGTCAAAAAATAAAGTTGTTTTTATTGGCTTTAACAAGGACCTCCATGTTGCCAAACTCAGAGGTCAATTCTCAGCCCTCCCCTGAAGGCCTAATGGTTACCATGCAATAGACATGATCCTACCTGCCTTCTTGAAATATTTTTCTTTCTTTCTTTCTTTCTTTCTTTCTTTTATTATTACTTAACTCATTTATCTCCCAAGATGATTCTATGCCACTAGCCATATTGTAAAAAAGTGACCTAAGCCAATGAATATTCAATTTGGAGATTCTCTTGGATCATGGTACCTGCCAATTATTGGAGATAGTTATAGGCTAGCAACTCCACCCAAAATCATTGTAACAGGGAAGTCTGAAACCAAATTCATATATGTAGATACACATACACATTTATCAGCAAATAGATGAAAAAAGTCATAAAACCTGCTCTGAAAGCCTGATAAAGTCTCAATTCCTTATCCTTTTATGGGCTCTGAGTCTATGGTCCATTAAAGAATCATGCATACAAAAACATTATTTTGGAATCATGTCGTGGACACCAATGCAAAAAGTAACATGACTAACTTATCAGAACTCAGGTCAGGAAATAATAAAAATCACAAACTTAAAGTAATAACAAGGACAAATATCTTTTATATCAGCATTTAATATGTAACAAAACTGTCAAAATAAAAATAAAGATATTTTCAGATAAATGAATTTTCATAAAATTTACAACCACCATATCTACACTACTACAATAAATACAAAAAGAAGTTCAAGAGGCTGAATGAAAGGATAACAAATGGAATTTTATATTTAAAGGAAAGAAAAAAGATCTAAATGTGAGGATAAGTTATAAAAAGATTAGCTTTTTTATCTTTTTCTTTTTACTTCCCTAAAAGACAATTTTGGAAGTTACACAAATTCTGTAATATATAGGTAAAGAAGTGTCAAAGGACACTTGTAATAAAGATGTTTCTAAGGAAAAAATGATTCAAAGGAAGTGTTCATAAAGAATGTAGAAGTAAAATTCATGACAAAAAGAGCACAAAGCAATGGGTGTATAAATGAAATTAAATTGCTATGAGGTAATGTAAATGACTAGGTAGAGTTAGGAGGAGGGAACATGACCAACTCATTTTATGTGTCCAGCATAGCAAAACCTGACAGAGATATTATATAAAGAGAGCAATATAAGACCAATATCCCTATGAAGATAGATGCAGAAATCCTCAACAAAATATTATTAAATCAGATCTACAAATACATAAACAAAATAACACGTAAACACTAATTCAGTTACTCCCAGGAATGCAAAATTAATTTAGTATTAAAAAATCAGACAATGTAATTCAACTCAGCCTCTTGATAATCTCAATAGACATTTTGACAAAATGGAACACCAGTTCATAATTAAATAAAAAAAAATAAAAACTCTCAGAATACCAGAAATAGAGGGAATCCTCCTCAATATAATAAAAGGTATCTATGAAAAACATACAGCTTAGTGAAATATTGCACTGTTTCCTCCTCAGATTGGAAACAGGGAAAGGATAAACACTCTCCCTAATTTGATTTAGTATTTTACCATGTGACACTCCACAGTGCAATAGAAGGGAAGAAAATAAAGTGCATTTTGACTGGAAAAGAAGTAAACCTTATTTAGATTAGATATGATTGTCGAAGTTGAAAACCTAAAGAAACCAGCCAATCAACTATTAGAAATAAAAAATTTAACAAAACACAGAATACACGGTCAATAATCAAAAATCAATTATATTTATATTTACTAGCAACAATTAGAGAATAAAATTTTTAAAAATCTATTTACTGTAGCACCAAAATATACAGAATTCTTAGGAATAAGTTTAACAAATATATGTAAGACTTCTAGTTTGAACACTGCAAAATGTTGCTCATAGAATTGAAGATGGCCTAAAGTGAAGAATTTTTGTATTCATGAATTGAAAGAATTAATATGTTCAAGAAGCCAGCTCTCTCAACATTGAACTGTAGATGCAATGCAATTTCATCTAAAATTCTAATAGGCTTTTTTAAGTAGAAATTGATTCTTATATAGAAATGCGAATGATTAGAATGGTCAAAACAATTTTGAAAATGAACAAATTAGGTGGACTTCTACTACCTGTTTTTAAGTCTTCTTATAAAATTAGTTATCAAGCTAGTTTATTACTGGCATAAGGAAATAATTCAGTGGAATGGAATAGAAAATCCAAAAACTGACCTATATACATTTAACTTACACATTATATACATTGAAACTTACTTATACACATTAAAAGATGCTAAGGTGTTCAATGGAAAAAAATAGTCTTTTCAGCAAGTGAGGAAACTGGAACTCATATATTACTACTGTTAGTGAAATGTTACAACTGCTTGACCGCTTGACAGCTAATGTTAAATATACACTTATCCTATTACCCTTCACTTCCTGTAAAAATGTAGCCTACAAAGAAAATGTCACCTTGCATTTGTTTTCTGTCTCATTTACCTTTCTCTTCATTCCTGTTGCTCTTACACCTCCTAAAAAAGTGTTAACTGTAGTAAATTTTGCCTCAAGTTTCTGTTTTCTAATGGCCCCAAGCAAAGACAACTGATAACAAAGGTTGATCCTCAGGAGCCAGTCCTCAGGATAAGATTTTGGTATCAGATCACTCATTTTCTGGAAGCCCAAGCAACTCATTCCACTGCTATATTATTAAATGTCATTTAATAATGACACTGGGGAGCTGTCAAAAATGGCAGACACTAATATACCATAGGAAGGGCCGGAT